TTAGATGTAAATGTACAAAAAAAAAACTAGTTTATATTGATATTGTTTAAGTAATACGAAAAATTTCACAGAAAATATCGAAAAAAAACCAGCACAAAACAATTGTATACAAATGAAAAATTGTCTTTCAAGTTCCATGAGAGTTCAACAGTCTACCAAAAAAATTTCCATGCGAGTTGTTGACTTGTTCGTAGATAACCACATCAACTCCTGGTAGTGTCAATGATGGAGCAATTGCTGCTGTTGTTCTTCCTACGGTAGAAGGTAGATTACTTGATAAGTTTGAATTCATATCTTTTTCCGTGTTCATATCTATATAAAATATTGAAACATTAATGTATATGTGTATGTAACAATTTAATCTATCTAAATATATTTTACTTGCCCTTTTTGAGTTTAATTACTAAAAATGAGTAAAATAGAACAATATAAATGCTTGAAATATTTTTGATTATATGCAATAATCTATGAATATATCTAGAAACAGAATAGATAACTATAGAAACTTCAAGATACAAAAAAAAACATATATTTTCAAAAATTATATTCTAAACAATATTCTATGTATATGAAAAGTACAAGTTCATATGTTTTAAAATTGATCATCCTCCTCTATTGTATCATTCTGATGTTTCTGGCCATGGTAAGTCCACAATAATAAGAGTATTCATTGGATTGTAATCATCTAAATAATCTATGGGCTGATAGTCTTCTTCTACAATTTCTGATGTTGTTTGATGATGTTGTTTTTCTAATACCATTTCTTGTTCTTCATGATACTCTTGTACTTCACGAGCCAAATTTGTTTGAACATTTTGATTTGTATCAGATACTGGTGGTTGTTCGAACTAAATTGTGATATTTCGAAAGAGACAATATTTGATTGAATTTCTTTTGATTCTTACCTTAGAGTCTGTTAATGTACAACGTGGAATTCTTACATAACATTTCATACAATCCACTAAATTGATTCTAAAATCTTTTATTCCATATTTTTCACGTAAATAGCTTTCATTATATTTGTTATTTATCGACGAGGAAGCTACTGAATTTGTTGATCCTGCAGATGACTAATAAAGATCGGAAAAAAATAAATGCATTACTTTCAAGATATTTTGATATTGTTTACCTGAGTAATTGATTGCTGCTGTTGAATATCACTCTGACATGTTAGAATAGAATTTTCTAAAGACGATTAGAAACAAAAATAGATTTAAATTTGATAATTAAGTATTCAATACCTTTTGAAATAACTGATTGTTGTTGTTCTTGTGAGCCATTAGACATCATTTTGAATATGAGATAATTAGTCGAAAAATGTATCTGTAAGTAATAGAGAAAAAAGATTTTTTTCGATTCAACTATAAACAATAAATTCTTAGAAAATTGCTATGGATGAAAGAGCTACATGTTAGTTTATTTTACTGTTATTTTCAACAAATGTTTTGAAAAACAAAAAAAAAAGAAAAACCTAGAAAAAAGTTCATTGGCAGTTGCTATAATTTTTATACGATTTTTTATCTAAACAAAATCAAAAAAAAATCAGTGAAGTAATATCACTTATTAACTATATTTACTCATTTATGTAATAATATTGACACTAATTTAGTTACTGCTAAACAATCATTAACAGCATATTGTATCATCTCTTGAATAATATTGTTTTGTTTAGCATTCATAACTAACGATTGATTATTGTTTACAATATAAAGATTTCGACTCCATCTACTTTTGGTCCGACATTTATTGAGAAATTCTTGACATGCATAAACTATAGCCATTTGAAGTGACCAATGATGACCTGAAGTTTCGATGGATTGTTTTGAATATGCATGTAAACGTTTCTGAATATCCCTTGGAAGACAAATATGTTCATGTGTTAATTTTTGATCATGCCAGTTTTTAAAAAGTTTTTGAATGTCTATATTATTTATTTGTTTAAGTTGTTTAGATGAAAAAAGTCCACCTGATATAAATTTATTTAATTCATTCTCACCATTACCCCATGAATATATACAATTGGATGGATTTAAGACTATTTTCAGAAGTGATCTTATTAACCAAAATATGACTGATGTTGCTTGTGGTAAATGATGCACTTCAATTAATAATACGATAGATTGATGTTGTATGAATTCAATTTGAATTAATGATGGTCGATGTGTATAATAATCATCTTCTGTATCAATAGTAAATTGAATTGTTTTTTTTGCTTGTTCAATTAAATTATGTAATAGAATAGAAGATGTGAATTGATTGATATGATAGATACGGTAATCATTTAATGGACTGAATATTGGTAATACGCTTAATGTCATATTTAATTCATGTTTTCGAGCATTTCGGATCATTTTCTTTTTTTAATTGAGCACTATTATTTTTATCTACAAAATAAGCATAAATAATTTTTTTCAAATACAAAAAAACTGTATAACAAAAAAGAAAAAAAAGAAACGATAATAATAGAATAGTATATGATTTCAAAAGTACACAAAAAAAAATATCATGTCATAATAACAATGAACTAATATAATATCACATAGTTGAAAAACAAAAGTCATTATTGTTGACCTGTAATAGTAGGTGATTTGTCTACTGCTAATAAAGTATTTAATGAATGAAAATGTTTAGTTGTTAGGATAATTTTAGAATTTTCTTCTGATAGAATTGGATGTTTTTCAAAATAATGAATCCAAAGTTTATAAAATTCTCGATTGAATCGACATCTTGGACCAAAATCATAAATATAATTGAATTGAATTAAACGACCATTATTAGTAAAGTTTTCAAGTTGCTCTATAAGTTCATATCGTTGTTCGACGAATTTAAACCATTGTTGACGAAATTTATCATATGTGCTTTGATTTCTTGAGTATCGCACAGTTTGAGCATGAAAATAATTGAAAAAATGTTTGACATGAGTTTCAACAAATAATAATGAATAACCACTAATAAGATAAGTTAATACAAGAGCAATTCGTTCCTGTTGAAAATCATCAACTGATGTACAGTAACATACAGCACGAATTAAAGCTGTTCGTAACCAATCACTATGAGCTGATTTTGAATGACCCAAGAGATATGGTAATGTATAACGATGCATATTCGAATCATAATGTACACGAGTATATAATTGACCTTGTCGATTTTCGATAGAAGCATTTAAAAATTCGACATTTGTACCAATAAATTTTTGAAAACGTACATTCCAATATTGTTCTCGAATGTTTTCTAGAAATGTTTCAAGTTCGAGAGCACTTGATTTATTCCATGTAAAAAATAGTTGATCTTTATATCTAAAAAATATTCAATTTGAATTAAAACAACTTTATAATTCTGGAAGAAATATTTCAGCAAAAAAATACCTTCCAAAAAATTCTATATTTTGATCAATTTGCTTCCATATTTTCTTTTGCCATACAAATAAATAAATATTTGATAATGTTTCTGTTAATGCCATAGTATTTGGACTACCTTTTGTACATTCATAGATATTATCCTTGTACAAAAAGATATTATTATAAAGAAATACATATAAAAGATTTCGAATAGTTTGAATTGTTAATGATTCAAGTTTGTTTGTTGCTGTATTATCGTGTAAAAAATAACCAATAACATCAATCATATTTTTATGTTCATCTAA